GTGGGAATGCGTTGCAAAGAGGTCGATATGTTGCCTGACGCCGTTAAAGATTAAACGCCTCTAACCGCCTTTCTGAACGACTGGAGTGGTCTCCCGGTAGTACCGAACTACTGTTGCCTCGTGGCATCCCTGCGTGCTAAGTCGATTGATCCCCGAGGCTTTGCTTAAGTTAAATTGGTCAGGTATGCATGACTTCTGGCACACGGTAGGCTGATGATACAGTTCAAGTGTCCTCCTCTGAACACGGTGAGATGCAATATCGTCGCCACTTTCCGGTTCAGCAGTTCTCATGGAAGAAAGAACGACTGTTCCTATAACTTAAAAAGCTACGAGTTAAGCAACTACATATGCATAATTTCTGCGGCTATCAGCGCAGAGAGGTGGGGCTGGTTGACTTCGCAGCGCTTGAACACGGCAAACCTTTTTAGGCCAATTGTAGGTCCGAGGTGAGAATTGGGAGAAGGAGAGAAGAACCTCCAGAATGCGTGAGAAGTTGCCAGTTATGAAAGTTTCTTATCGTCCTGAATTTGGGACTAGAGGATGTACTTCCCGATAGCGCCCTTTCTGTTAGTGCTGATAACTAATACTTCTACTTTTGGTTCTAAAGCCTACAATTCTTTCTCTCGAGAGACAGTAGAAGTACACAGAGCTTTTTTGACTGGACCTAATTAGGAGGACTGAGCTGTACCTCAAAATCTGATTAGGACGAAACGTCAGTTTGTGCATTTTGTTGCGAATAAGGAGCGCGGAACACTTTCAACGACATTGATGCGAGCATTAAAACAACTGCCTTGAAAAGGTCTGAACTCACTATTTTCCATTGAACTTTATTGTTTAATTTGGCCACAGCGGAATCCAACGTGACCCTCTAGGGACCCTTAATTCGAAGAGAATGACATCACCCGCCTTCGAAGAGGGCGTAAGTGGTCCAAGGAACAGACAAGTTTCAAAGAACAAGGCAGAAGATCCTTGGCATTGATTGGTCCCGTTGGGATACGGAATGGTATAATTTTGGAGTCTGCTAGTACTGCAGATATTTGGCCGCTTGCAGAAGAATTCGTTCTTCAGGAACTAATTTGAAAGTGAAAATGTTCTGCCAATCTTGACTTCGTGGGTAGAAGCCCACCCGTCACACAACTCTCGATAGAAGCCGTATTTGGGTTTTCATGAGGGGATCGTATTTGAGATTTCCACAGGGGGTCGTGGTAGTGAAGTTTGAGGGGTCGTGCTGTAACAGGGCCCAAAGTCGTTTTTGGCGATTTTGGCGAGAATTTTAGAAAATAGGTGTGACATAAAGGAAATTTAAACAAACAGACCCAAAGCTCGATCGCTGTGGGAGAGAGAAGGAGGCGGAGAAAGTGTTCAAAAAACGTTCTAACAAGAAAGAAAGCCATTTCCAGGAAGAATGACTTCACTCTAACTGCCCAGTAGTTGTGAGAAGGTCTTCTACATGAAGAATTCAAGGCGAAAACCTATATTCTACAATAAAATGACCATTACCCTAAGTAAATAGATGACCAAACAAGAAAGACTGCTACTAGAGCGGCATTTCTACAAAGAATACACGATTGAAAACAACCTATTACCACGCAAAGCCTCAATTACGCTTCGCAATTCCGCCTACTCATTCTCCTCTTTCTCACTACTAGATGAACTCACCCAACCTCTAGCTACACAAATACTAGTGCACCTCCCACATCAGCCGAGATGACCTCGTTGAAAGTGGGCTCTGTATCATGGGCGCGATTCCAAGACAGCGATCACGGCTAACTATTTCAGCATGTGGTATCAGGTAGTAAGTATATCCTATTTCAGACACGAGAAGAAAAATCGAATGCAGACCCACACACGCGTAAAGACGACGGGCAAGTGAAAAGGTTTTTTCTTGCATCTTCCTATGGTGTGTTTCACTCGATCTTCTTCTTGTCTCCGGAACCTTTAGCATGTTATATGTGTTGAACGTTTTGTCGTTTTTCTACCTCGACTTTCAACCTTTCAAGTTGAAGTAAAAATATTTTGAAAGTTTTTCGCTACAAGATGGCATTTCAGTGCGCACGTTTGTTCAGAACGCTAGAGCTCTGGAGGTGATGAACTGATGGAAAGTCGTTCCACATCATTTGGTTTTGAAAGCATTCCTTTGAGAGATCTATCAGTCCTCTGACCAAAGTGTAACTGATAGACCAGAGTTCTGCTGAGTGAGAGTCGCAGCCACTGCATAGCCCCAGTGGTCGCCACTTATCAAGTTAGTTGCGCGATGCGCGTCCGAGCCACCTGCCCAGGATGAGACCGACTCCTTTATTATGGAGTGCCTGGCTCATTCTTGGAGTTTCAGTGAATTTTTGACGTAATGTTAGGAGTGCTTCCCTACTGTAACAGTTACCACCTGGTAACGAAAAGCTAGGCCAGCCGCTGACCTCATGAAAGTCACCTCAACCTTTCTCCAGTACATCTTCAGTTTTGCAAAGTTCCTGTTTTATTTTGGAACCGAGTGCACAACACTTCATTAATCACATCATTTTTTGTAACAAAAAAATAACCAAAATGAGTAGGAGATCTAGACTTGATCAAAGAAATTGCTGGGAACATCAAAAGCGAAAAAGATAAAAAAAAAAAGGTATAAAATGTGAAGACCGATTGTCAGCATACCATTAGCAAGGTATTTCAGGGCAAATTTACCAAATTCACTCCCACCCAGATCCTCCCATTAGTTAGTGTTCAACCAAATTATATTAAAGTTCAAATCTGTTTGGAGAGCGTTATACAAATGACGTGAGGGAATCTTGAATTAATGGAATAATCCCGGTTCCTATGAGAAGGGTGGACAGATGAGTTGATCGACCAACAGCGCTCTTCAGATGAGAAAATGAAAAATGGGATGAAATCGAGAATACGAGGAACAGCATCTGCTCTAAAGCCAGAAATCGAAAGGGGCTCCGTCGTGAGAAACGGTTTCGGTGGATGTGAAGTGACCAGACCGGCTGCGATCGCTCCGGTATCGTTTCTCAAGTGGCGTCATAGTCATGTCCGATCCCCCTGAACGGCTTGATAAACAAAAGCTCGGCGTGCGGCTTTTCAAGTCAAGCACCGAGTTTCTAGCCTGGAACAACAATGAAGATCGGTAATGAAACCCTGAAGCAAGTTCAAGGAAATCCAGTCTTTCCCGTTCTAGTAAAGGATCATTCAAATGGAGAATCGAGAATCTCGAATAGTTTCATTATGAGTACTTTCCATACTCTGCTTGAGTAAACATAGCCCTAGAAGTGAGTGGTCCCGAGAAGTGGCGCTTGGTCAGTTTTTGGGGTACGCCACGTGTTTACTTTTCAGTCAGAATCAAGGCATTGTTTGAAGATACGTCTATACAAAGTACGCATATTCCTGCGGTATGAGTATTCAGTCCAGTGTTTTTTTTTCCAAAATATGGCCCCTTCTGACAAGTCAAGAATGGACGAGATAGGTTGGGCTGAGCCAAATTCGATTTAGAACTCAATTGCCGGATCATGGTAGCAGGCCACTTGCCACTCTCGTCCACATTTGGATGTAAGTACTTGTATAGTATACGGCGTTAACCAGCCCTTTCCTGGAGGGCACCTCTTACCAGGGTCAACCCTGTGGTGCGACAAGTACCAACGGGGTGGGGGGTCGTATCAAATCGCCCATGAGAGGTAAGGAGAGAGTCGTAATAAAATTCCAAAAACCTTGCTTTCCCGCCGCCATTCAAGTCCAGGTGATATTGAATTCTCTTGATCTGTGGAATGGAATCCGAGAGCCAGCTGATTTGGAGCCAATCACCCTCCCGATAAAAATCTAACTGTCAATTGACCGATGTTTGGCGTATAGCGCCTTGGGCTCGCTGTTTACTAATTTGGCTATTCCCCATCATTCCCCCCCCCCCCCCCGGAGGTGCACGCTCGTGCGGTGGTATTCTCGCACGATCAGTTCGGTCAATATGGCCGCGGTATTGGGTTACATTTGAGTTGTACACTTATTGTTAATAGATTTGGAGGGCAGCGAGATTTTTTTCGTCCCGGGGGCTATGGTTGCTCAAATTGGTAAAGAACCGGTAATAAATACATAGTTTAGCTTCCGCGGGTTCAATCAGGAACTTCAGTCTGACTTGTGTCCAGAGCGTGGGCCAGTGGCCACTTTGTCTATGGTTGGATATAAAAAAGTAGGAATAAAAAGCATTCCACGTTGATTAGACCCTTTCGGAATACGCCGTGCAACGCACACCCATTTATAGTCGAGAGATATAAAAGGTGGCGCTATCCAATATACGGGGGCATCCTCGCCAGGACTGATCCTAGCGGGTGGGGGAGGGCAAGAACATCAGGGAAAATGAAAACTGCATGCATCCGGCGGAGCGTCGAAATACTTTGGGGTTTTAGCCCGTTTTGACAAAAGGAGATGCTCTATCCGCGATCTCTAATGCACGGCCCACGCAATGCCTATCCTGCGATAGCGGTTCAAATGTTATCTAAGCGAACAAGTGAATATGGGCGCTATCAGGGTGCAAATTCCAGGATTACGCTCCTGACTAGGTGGCGTTTTTGGTAATAAGGTGCCGCATCGGCAGGAAGTTTGGTGTTGCTTCAAGCGAAATACGTCACGAGATTTGAGCACGGACTGTGCATGTGTGTGTTGTGGTGGCGCCACGCACTACCGCCCAGACTTCTACGTGCAATCATAAGAAAATCGTAAATTCTATCCGTTCTTCTTTTCACCACGGAATAAATGTCAACAAGTAATCCCATACTTTATTGTAAAGTTACTTTTGTGTGTCTTACAGTAACAAGAAACTGTTGCGATAATTTCCCTGAATTTCACCATAGCTGATTATTCGTCTACCACCAGAACGGAAATCGCCACGTTTTCTTCGACTTCTTCTCTTACAGTAGAATTTTCTCTTACTATCGGGATATTGGCTTGCGTTTCGGAAATTTTCGTTTGCAGGACTTGGTGCTTCTATTCTGTGATTGGGATCCCCAATATTGTCATCAAGCTCAAACCTTCGTGCGAGGTTTTCTACGTGAAATCGATACCGACATAGAATCACCGCCATGCCGGCTGCTATCCATCGAACTATCTCGGCGGCTCCTACTCGACTAAAAAGATTCTTCAGAAAAGTTGAAAATAGGACAGAAAAATATAAGTGATGAAGCTTGCGTCTCTAAGAACGGCAAAAGAGGTACAGCACGGAGCATCACCACGGAACACTTCCAAATGGGATGCCCCGCCCATGAACCTTGCCCTTGCACGGGTAGCTTAAAAAACCCTCGAGCCATCTCACTTAGAACCCCAAAGAAGACGAAAAGGTCGAATCATCAGACCACTCAATAAATGTTCCAATTATCAACCTCGTCTGCACAAAGAATGAAGCACTTCGACCAACAAGATCGGGGTTTCCTACGACTTTCACCCCATGCTTTATTGCGCCGTGAGAATCCTTTTCTCCAGAGGATAGGGACGAAATTCCTTTGAGTTTGTTTTCCATAGCCCGGCTCCTTTATTATGGGCACCTTTTCCGCACAAATGCCTTAAAATGGGCCCTTCTTTAGGCTATTTTTCATCGCTATGATATGAAATGCAATGAAATATTTCCTACTGTTCGAAGAGAAGCATGGCATAAGGCCCGATGAATTGGCAAACTGTCACCCTCCGTGCCGCCCCCAGAAAGCATTCGAAGCCTCTGTAAATGGAGCTGCAGGCCACTATGTCTAAGGCCGATGTCAGACTTTGCGAATCGCGCGATTCGCAGTCTGACATCGGCCTAACGGCTGTCCGCTATTCCGTTGGGACAAGGCTTCATGAAATTTGTTTCATAGCATTTCAGTTTAAATGGCGGTTTGCTGCTTGAGTTGCTTTTACCGTAATTGTGGTGCAGCCCGTAATTATCTAACCATAAGGTTGGCAGGTTGAACGTACTCTCACAGAAGTCGAAAAATCCGATGGCCGTTTTCCTGGTGACTTGCTGAGACTTCGCTCTCCTGAAGTAATAAGAGTAAACAATAAGACAAGAAATATGGGATTCTTCTATGTGTGAATGCATAGGACAACGTCTAATGAGTGTGACTGCAGGCCAAATCCTCGTATAACTTCGCCAAACCCACCTAGCGAAGGCTAGGTGGGTTTGGCCGCGAAGGTAAACGAAGAAATAGGTGTCTATTCTGGGCCAAAGCCACGTTGTGAAAACTGCGTGGGCCTGCGTCCATTCCACCTGTCATGCAGACTGTAGCGGTTCTAGTTGGCCCAAACTAACATCCCATTTTCTTTAACCCGCGAGTGTCCCTTGGTTCAGGACAATGCGTTGTATGTTTACTGGATATTGACATACTCCCTCGTCTGCACCTAGCAAAGCTCGGGCTTACGACTTTCAGAATTACAACTGTGCGACTAGTACCCTGCTGTAGCAGCGTGATTATTTTCCCCCAAACACTCAATCTTTTTGCCCTTCAACGTTTAGATGTCAAATAAATATGCAAAAAGAACCGACCATGTCATTCTTACTACCCAACAGACCACTGTTTGAAAGAAGAGCATTTATACTTGATCATCGGGTTGAAATTCAGACCTGATTCAACCTAGGAAAGGGTCCATGCCAAACTAGGGCTCATTAAAGACGGAGTTGACGACGAGAAGGTAGCTCATTGAAAATTAATGCACAGGTTGTCAGTGATGCAGGGATGAAAAAAAATCAAGAGGACGGTTCAGAACCTGGGAAATGGGCCTTTTTAGCAGGTTGGTTTCCGCATCGATGCGAAAAATCATTCGCTTTCGAAAGTCAACACCAGATTCCTGCTCCGCCAGCTGCTACAGCTGAAGGGCTGGTATCCGCGCTAAAGTCCGACGGCGAGAATAGTATAGCCAGTCGGTTACGGCATCCATGATTATGCCTTCAAGACCTGGAGTAAAGTAAAAGATCAGCCCCGAAAAAAGCCATTGGAAAGATTCAATTCATAGCTTTCTTTTCGCGGTACGTAGCCACTTTCATCGATGTCCACGATCGTTCTATACCGTCAACGGGCTTCGACTTTTGACCTTCTCTACCTACATCAAGTCTAGCCACTAATATCAGCTCTCTCAAAGGAATCGTCCACGGGAGAGCTGTTCCTTCATGTCTGCTGGACGGCATCTGCTATAGTGAGCGCGAGCCGGGTGTTTTGTGACACAGATGCGAGCCAAGTATACTTGAATGTTCAAAGAAAACTTCATGTTCACGCTTTCAACACATCGTGCGTGTTTACTTCCAACGCCAACAGCTGTCACATTTCTACTGCGGGAAGTCATATTTATTACAGTCTCCTGGTTGTTTGAATTAATGTCAGAACTAGGGCTTCTTCTTCACTCTTTTTGTTATCATCGTGAAGCAAGAAGGCTGAGGCATCAATTTCAGGTTAGAATGAAGGCAAGGTTTCTCAGTGACGATTCCTTTATTAGCCACCAATGCGAACGCAAAGTACGCAAGAAGTCCACATCTGACCGTAATGAGGCGGCATGAGAAACACCGCGTTCAAAATAATGCTAGTCCACTCATACCGTTACGATTCAGCAAGAAACGCATCTACCCTTCAAAGGCAAATCATCTTTAGATCGGTCGACTGCGCGCCACCTTTTTTTGAACTTTGTTCTTGTCGCTTTTTCTGAAACACATAGCAATTAGTATCTAATTTGTACTCCTACATTAAGAAGATTTTATACGGTTCCATTCGGAATCAATTGCCCTTCTTCCCCTCCCTGCCATTAGCCCCGCGTGGTCGCAAAATTCCTCTGTCTTGCAGTAACCCATTCCCCTATTCATATGCGATTTCGTGTGGCATAAAATTACGTGAGATTGGTTCTAAGGACGTCACTCCACCTCGTTGGCCCAGACTTCCTATTGCGATCAAATAGACTTCAAGCGGGGTCAACCCTACGTTGGTACAAGTACCAACGGGGGGTCGTACTTGGTTTAGGTTGGAGGGGGGTCGTACTTGTTTCGATTGTAAGAAGTTGCATGAGATGAGTGGGGAGTGGCGCGGGAAAAATTTGCCGTTTCAGCGCGCGTATATACCCGCCTAGAAAAGTGAAAAAAATGAAACAGTGTGATATAGGGAGAAGTGGGGTAATGCGTGGAAATTTACAGGAATTTTTGGTAAATTTTTTACTGTTTGTAGAGGACTAATATACATTACTCCGTTCGACGGGGTTTAGAGGGAAAAAAGTGGCGGGGTGTTAGGTGGGAGATGGAGTAAGGGAAAAAGGGTCTCCTCTGGTCGTGGAAATTTGCATAAGATAGTATCCAACGTCCATGAGGACCGACCCTGCTTCAAAGACCGGCACCTTTCTTATCGATTAATACTGTGGCCTTTCCATCACACGCCCGTAAAACCACAGTAGCTCACACTTTTAGCTGGACACGACAGTCCGCAATGATCTGTCTGCTACGGGATTGTTTGTGGCCTCCATCTCAACCCTCACCCAGCAATTATCACTCCAGCAAAGTGAAAGTTCGTGTGAAGCGATTAGATCACGATAAAGAGTCGTGTTCGCAGCGTGGAAGTACATGCACCATTGGAAGCAGTAGTCAGGGGCCCAAGGAAACGAAATGTTGCGTTTTTGTGGCCAAAGGTGCGCTAGCTGCAGCGTACTGGGCTTGCCATTCCTTTCTGAGCTCCGCACGGTCTGTGCTCCGCCCCAGCAGCAGCGCCCTTCGATTATCATTTTGATGAGGTATTCCGCTGAGTTCGTATCCTATAATGTACCCATAGAAAGCGTTGCCAATCAAATCAACGTCTTTTGCTAGCTTATGATGCGTGCGCCTACGGTCGCAACATGGTGCAGAAGACCTCCACTCGGTTGCTAGCTGCGTCCATTTATCTAGGTCAAGAACTGGTCAAATGGAAGAGGTTACCATTTGAGCCTCTTAGACGGATTGTGTGTTTTCGCACTGAGGATTATTTAGCATCTCACTTCCACACGACTCCTGTCAAAATCGTTATCGTAACCTCGCTTTTGACTAAATTCGAAGGTTATGGTAGATTTCAGCTATGAGACGGCGAGGCAAGCGACCAAGTGGTTTCTTCAGCTGGAAGGTGGCCAATCGCTTGGCAAAGAAATCACGATGGTTGACGAACGTCGAATGCTCAGTCGATTTGGTGTCTGGATGATTGGCCGCGCTTATGCCCACCAAACGCGATGCCGATCAAGTGCAAATTAGCAAATATTGCTCTTGAATGACTCTCGGATTAAAAGCTATAGATAAGCCAAGGCAGCTGTGCCTTTCGACTCGTATAACTTCGTATAATGGTAAAGCCCGTTTGAAATCGATAGAACTGCGACTGAGTTTTCGACTATCCGATTAAATTGGCCCTATATTATGTCAGAATCTCATTTTGAGTCAACAGTTCGATGAAGTAGACTGCTATCGCAGGCCTGAACGCGATCGACCTGGAGCCGAGTGTCCTATCCCTTCACCATTTGTGTGCACACGTCATATGAACAAAACAGCGAAAGTACTTGTGGTTAGTGTCGGGTTGTCCAGAAAATCCTGCGACACTTTCAAAAAAAGTTCTTTAGGAAAAAATCAAAACTCTTCCCAGATTGTGTTTGCAATTTGCATTAGTGTAGTGGTATCTTTGGAGGCTTCAGTAGCAGCCTTAAATGATAAGCTTCGGTATGCAGGTATGACTGTTTCAAATTTCTCTCTGAGTTCAAACCCAAACATGAACCGCCCGTTCATAGTTCGCGACTCGGGAGATTAGATAGTAGGCGATAGGATATTAGGATAGTAGTAGAGTAGGAGATTGCGCTGACAAGATTGGATACGTATCGATTGAAATCGCTGGAGAGTAGTAGATTGGGCGACTTCAAGCGAATAGATCAATACATATCTAATCTTGTCAGCGCACTATCCTAATCTACTACTATCCTAATCTCCTACTCTACTACTATCCTACTATCGTAATATCGCAATCTACTACTCTCCAGCGATTTCAATCGATACGTATCTAATCTTGTCAGCGCAATCTCCTACTCTACTACTATCCTAATCTCCCCGTCAATACATATGTTTTTCATTGTCGCGTACTATCCTAATCTCCGGAGTCGCGAACTATGAACGCGGCCTAGCAGTTGCCAGTTTTGTTCATGAACTCAGTCCAATCTTTATCTTAACCCTCGCTTCAAGTTAGCTTTTGCTTGTCGTTGGAACGAAAGCTTAAAATCGCCCGCAGGCTTTTGAGTGCTGGTAGGGTCGTCATCGCACAAGGTGAAAACAGATCCCTTCATTTCATGCAAACTGTATTTATTCTCCGGCCTTTTACTGTGATCAATAAACGATTCACATTGAATTGAAGGGTGTAAGATTAGCGAGCAATTTTCACCTAGTTGATGAGACCCGTCAGACCTGCCTAATGTGCGGACTGCAAGGATTGACCTCAGCACCGTTAATGCTCAAATCTTGCCGCGGTTGGCCAGTGCACGCACGACCATCTGATCACTCGCGCAGGATTACGGCAGACTTTCGTGTGGCCGTGTGATTAATAAGCGGTGAGATAGCGTAGTTGCTAAGAGCGGGCCTGAGCGATAATATTTCGCATCAATGCTCAAATCAACGGGCAAGGAAGTGGTCCCATTTCTTAGGTTCTGGGCCGTTTCGCATGGTTTTTCCTTTTTTAGTGTACCACTCACCATCGCTAACTTAATTTAAAATGGGTTGCCTTTCCAGCGTGAATTCGTCCTTGAAATACGCAGCTAGCGGTCTGAACGCTCTCTCCAGAAATGACAAACTTTCACCCTCCTTATGCTCTTCGCACTGACGATCCTTGATTGACTCCCGCTTCCCCCTTTCTCTCCAATAGATGAAAAATTCAAACTTTTCGCCAATTTGCCTTCAAAGTCGTACAATGAGCGAACAGCGGCACTTATTGGCATGTGACGCACTATTGTCTGCCAAACCGCCGTTCGAACATGCTCATTATTGTGTCCTAACAAATTGTATAGGACCGTCTGAGCTGTGAACGTTTTCATCTTTCCTCAAGATCCTGCTCCTTCCCTTAGCCTCAATTCTAGAGGATGCTCCCGCCGATAGCGCCTATAGACAATACGCCTACGATACGCCTCAATTCGAGGTGGATCTTCATGAAGTGAACACCTGAGTTGTGGTTTATGTTGCACCATTGGGGCCAACCTCAAGCGGAGCTCATGTCGTTAGGGGAGACACTTAAGCTGAGTGCAGCCATCTTTACAAAATTATGCAACAAGCAAGGAGGTTTTTTAAGTATTTTTTATATAGGGTTGAGACATTGAACCATCTTTGTTCTCCTCTCCTCGTCGTCTCTCCGGTATTGGTCTTAGCGTCACCTACCAACAATTTTCTAAATGCTCCTGTTTTGGAGTTCCCCTAAGGCCATGTGCGCCAGCGCAAGCATTTTACTTCTATAATAGCTGAAGATACATACAAGAAGCAGTACAAACTTACTTCTCGATATTTCATGACGTAGTAGATGGTGCCTGCTTACAGCGACCAAACCAATACCGATAGCTATTACGGTCTTCCGGTATCTATGCCATATATAAAACTCTGACAGCCGTCCAATACGCGTCATTTTTTGCCTGTTCTACAGTCATCACACAAACATAAATGAGTCTCACCTTGTTTATTACTCGGCAGCACGTGATAAGCGTAGACGTGATTAGCAGTATCAGTGCAGTATGTATACCTGCCCTATCACTGATGTATCCTTATCCTACTATATTATAAAGCGCTAACTTTGTGTGTCGGTTTGTGTATCTGTATGTGTGTGTGTGTGTGTGTGTGTGTGTGTGTGTGTGTATGTATGTGTGTCCGTCCGCAAAATGAAGTGAGTGAGAAGGAAGCTCATGGGATAAACAAACCGCTAACAAATCGGGTAGCTTACAGGATTTGAGATATCAATGTTTTGTAGCAGGATAGTTGTGATAACATTGGGGGTAGTTGTGATAACACTCTCAGCTATATAAACACCTGCTTAGCACACTTCCGTTCATTCCACATGGTGCTGCAGTGGCAGCTGGAGGGCAGTGGAGAGAGGAAGGGAGGATGAGGAAGGGAAGCGAAAAATCTACCGTCATATCATGATTGTGTCCCTTCTACTGTTTGAAACACCATTTTTG